TATAAATTTATTAAAACCTCAAGGATATTGGCAAGATATTATTGATTCTTTGAATCTTAAACAATTTGTGCACACGGCTACCAGGGTAAATGATAAATCTAGTACAATAATTGACCACATATACGCATCACCTGACTGCAACCTAATAGAGGTCTGTGTCCCCTCTTGTGGTGTTAGTGATCACTTCCCTGTTTGCTGTACTTTTTCGACAAAAAGATTATGTGTACCTTCGCGGCAACACATAACTATAAGTTATCGCTCTTTTAGAAAATTTAATGAAAATCTTTTTCTTTCGGATTTATTGGCTGCCCCCTTCTGCAATGTATACAATTATAATTGTCCCGATCTTGCCATTTCTGAATGGCTGCGTATTTTCTATACTATATATGATAAACATATTCCTAAAATCTCTAAAAGAGTTAAGACTACATACAAACCTTCTTGGTTTAACAACAATATCGAATCTGCAATTAATAAAAGAGACTGGCTTAAACGTCATGGAACTTCTGAGGACTTTTGTAGGCAGCGAAATTATGTCAAACTGCTTGTGCGTAGGTCGAAGAAAGAGTATTTTAATAAGCTGCTGTCAGGCAAACCTAATTCCAAATCTATCTGGACTGCTATAAATCAAATAATTAGAAAAAAACGCACATGTAATACAGCTGGACATTGCCAGATATCTGCTGATGACTTTAACAATCATTTTATATCATCTGTAGCGCTCAACACAGATGCTGATTACACAATCAGTGAGGAGCTTAAAAATTTTTGTAATTCTGCTCACCGTGGTAGGACAGAGCTGATCATTCCGCTTCTCACTGTTCATGAAGTTTATGTTAGCCTAAGATCTCTTAAACCGTCTTCAACAACTGCGTTTGATGATATTTCTAATAATGTATTGAAGATTTCAGCTCCAATAATTTCCGAAGTTTTAACCTATGTCTATAACCTCTGTATTGCCAAGCATTATTACCCGACACATTTTAAGCATGCTAAGGTTATACCACTACACAAAAAAGGTAACATCCAAGATGCTAATAACTACAGGCCAATTTCTATACTTTCTTCCCTCTCCAAGCCACTAGAAATACATATAAACAAATGCATTTCATATTACCTAGAAAAGTTCAAGCTTTTCCATAGTAATCAGTCTGGGTTTAGAAAGTTTCATTCTTGTCACACTGCTCTGATTAGGATGAATGAAAACTGGCTTATAAATATTAACAAAAACCTACTCTGTGGCTCGCTGTTTGTCGATTTCAGAAAAGCCTTTGATTCTATTGATCACACCATACTTCTTAAAAAACTAATTCCATACAAATTCCACGACTTTACAGTTAGGTTACTTCACTCCTTTTTATCTAACCGATCTCAACGCGTGTTTCACCTTAATACCATCTCTTCACAGAAATATGTTAATATAGGGGTTCCACAGGGCTCAATCTTAGGTCCTTTACTTTTTTCTTTATACATTAATGATCTTCCATTACATATTGACGCTGGTCAGTGCGAGATGTTCGCTGATGATACTTCTTTGCATGTCTTTGCAGACAGTGCTGAGTCACTGAGTTACAAACTTCAAACATGTGCCAATCAGCTTGCAACTTGGACAAAATTTAACAAAATGAAACTTCACCCCGATAAAACCAAGTCAATGTTTATAACAACTCATCAGAAACGCCTTCGTCTTCCATCCACCGCATTAAACATTACTATAGACAATTCAAACATTGAACAGGTAGACAGTTACAAATGCCTAGGATTGTTTATAGATCACAACCTCACTTGGTCTGACCATATTCATTTTCTAAGAATGTCCTTATTAAAGACAACCTTTCAGTTAGCAAGGATAAAGAACTTTCTCAACTATAGGAGCAGGCTGGTTTTTTATGAGGCTTTTATTCAATCCAGGTTGGATTATGCTTCTGTAGTGTGGAGCGGCAGCTTTATATCTAAGCAGCGTCCTCTTCTTTCTTTACAAAAAAGGGCTATAAAACTGGTTACTGGCTTGTCTAGTAGTATGGATTCTTTTCTTACAACTAAAATACTTCCATTAAATAAAAAGATAATATATACTAAATCAATTTTCTTATATAAAATATTCCACGAAACAGCCCCCTCTTACTTATCAGATCTATTTTCTTTTAACATAAAATTAAATCGTCGTCTCAATTTACCATTCCCTTATTCAACCTTTTTCCAAAAACATAGCTTCGCCTACTCTGGTTCTAATTTGTGGAACAATCTTCCTAATAAAATAAAGCTATCTAGATCTGAAAATATATTCAAATCTAAATTAAAACTAAAATTATTTAATGACCTAACTGACTCATTGTAACATTTCTCATTCATCTATTATATTCTCTTTTTTATCTCATTATGTATGATAGCTATGTACCATTGTTTCTTTATTCCACATTTTCAGTGCTATGTGTTACTGCTATGTGTTTTTGAATTGCTTTATTTGTTTAAACGGCCAATGTGAAAAAAGGCCTTTGTGCCTACAATTGTAACCGTTGTTTGAATAAATTTGAATAAATTTGAATAAATTTGAATAAATTTGAATTTCTTAATAGTTCTTTTGTCCCCACTGAGAAAATGGATCACCAATGAATGACGCGTCATACTTCTACAGCTGGTCTTTCTCCCACAACCATCCCGTTTTCACGAAAAAAAAAACCTGACCCGTCTCCAAAATCACATCGCTGAGTTCTACTCAACCTCTCCCCACCACAAATCACTATTTCTATCTGAAACAATATGTTCATATGTTTGCTCTGTAATAATACACGCTATCATTACTATCTTAAGAGCGACGTCATTTATGAGCGATCTAATATTGATTTGCTTACTGCAAATAAAGTGTTCAAAAGTTCGACCTCCCAACAATTGTTGTGATCTTGGATGCACACTATTAAGTCTGATAAGATCTATTAGTCATTCATGTCAACTATATTAAAAAAAAAAGAAAAATTACTATATAGGGGGTCATCCATAAATGATGTCACGCTTTTTTTTGACGATTTTTACCTCCCCCCCTCCCCTCCGTCACACGTCGTCACAAAAAGCCAGACCCCCTCCCCTAAAATGACGTCACACCTCAGCCTACAACCCCCCTCAAAATTACAGTTGAATTGTTTTTAAACAGCTATATTTTTCCAAAATCTTGTCTGAACTCTGTCAAAATAGATTATTTTAATCAATTGTTATTACAATGTATTAAAACAGTTTTTTAAAACGCAAAATAACGTCTATAATTCGTTTTGTAACATTGCTTTTTTAAAATGCAATGTGTGACGTAGCACCATCTGAACCCCTCCCCCTCCCACTCATCACACAACGTCACAAAATTACGGACCCCCCTTCCCCTACGAGTGTGACGTCATTTATGGACGACCCCCCCCCCCCCCCCCCGCATATATTAAAACAATCATATTAAACCACAAAATCAACACAAAAGACATGCGAATAGACAATTTATTGTTTTTAAAACATGGCCGCTGCTTGTATTTACTCATTGTTGTCTCGAACGGGGTAGTTTAAAGTTTATTCCAGGATATTTATGTCTGGTTTGGTCTTGGATTGTGATTTGTTATTCAATTATCTGTTATAATGCTGGAGTTGGTGCTGTCTTTATCATTGAGTGCGGGGGTGGGCTCAGGGCTGCTCACCTGTAGATAGATAAAATTAGAATATTAAAACTTGTAAACCAACTAAGTCTATGAATGTATGCAGATATAAATTAAATAGTGCACATACTGATCATTCATGCATGTTACATATCTACTTTTTAATCTGCTAGTCTCAGTTTCTGACTAGAAATACAATTTTTTTTTTTAATAAATTCAATAAACCTAAGCAGAGTACACTAAAAGTATTCTACTAGGGCAAGTCAGACAATGCTCTCTGTTTTTCCTGAAAAGGAAAAACTAAATGTATGAGAAATGACTTAACCAAATAGATTACTCATGAGTTTAAGTTACTATTGTTGTCTAGTACCTGGCTAGCTCTGCCTGGTTTGCCAGTTGGTGTGGACAATCTTCTGATGATCCTACTTAGCTCTACAGGGCTGACTTTCTTGAAGCCAAATGTGTCTGGCTTTTCTGGCTCAGGAACAACTTTGTAGTAGTAGCCACTCATGTCTGTACTGTAGCACTATTCTCTACCATGTGCACTATGCTACCTGATTCTCTACCATGTAGCACTTACTTCTCTGCAGGCCACATCTCGTACTTCTAATATCTGAAAAAACAAAATTTGGAACAGAAAAATTCAATGAAAGTATTACAATTCTTTTATACTTTTATACTAATTTTATGTTTAAAGCTACTATTAATATTATAACAAAATTTGTCAAGTATGAATACAGTTTTTGAAATTAGATTTACATTGATATATTTAAATACTGTAAAACTGATTGCAACAAAATTTGTAAAGCATCACATGAGTAGACTTAGACTGGTACTTTTAAAAAAACTCATGTGTACAACAAAACTGTAATGGTAATTATAAAATAATATTCAATTATCAGGATATCAATCTTCTTCTTCTTCTTTCTTGATTTTAGTTTTGGAAACACAATTAAGTTTATGTGTCAGTTAGACTCAATTAGTTATGCACCATTGAGGTCACTGACTCCAATTTCAGCCTGCTTTTCTTTTTGGATTTGCTTCAATAGCTTTTGTCCAACCAAGAACAAACTACAAGGCAGCAGGTTTTTTATTTTGGAGTTGTCTCTCCTAGAAGAGTGGCTGTCCCCAACTATCGAGCCTCATCTGCCCGAGGGTTCGAACTCGAGACTTTTCGGTTTAGCAACCATTAGCTTTACCGACTCAACCACGCTAACCCCTAGGATATCAATAATATTTACAATATATCTTCAACATATAAGCCAACTGTTATAAATTATTTATTATAAATATAGCAAATAGTTCATATAGAATCCATATATGTAATAATGTTAATATAATTACATTATAATCACTAAGTTCTCATTAATAATGGATAGGCCTCTTAGTCTTACAGATGTTGGTAATATTAATATAATAAGAGTTCTAGGCATACACTAAAATTAAATAATGGGCTTGTCCTAGTCAATAATAATGACTTAATTATTGTAGCAGGCCTATAATAAATATAATTACTAATATGCCTAATTGGACTAGGTATAATCCGCTGTAGGTTTATGCCAAAATTACGTTACTTTCCTATCCTTTAATTAATTAACTACTAAAGTAATGGTTAATTACCTACAACTACTACTAGTAGGTATAATCAGTGCATTTTTAAATTTAATATATTAACTTTCTCTGCCTATGATTTTTTTAAATATATTACATTAATTCAATTATAAATTATGCTAATTACCTAATACTAATTAGTAAGTAGATCTAACTATTTAGATTTTAGGCTTAGGCCTATAAGTTATTTTTTCATATCATCAGTATATTAGTAGGCCTATATATTATTTATTTACTTATAGCCTAGGCCTGCAAAACATGCAGACTACAAACTATAACTATTCAGTATTCATTCATTGTTCATCTATTGAATCTATTGTAATTGTTTATTTAGGGCCTATTATAGGCCCTATATAGTATATAGGGGATAATCAATTAATTATTACGTTTTATGCATGTTGTTAACTAATGTTAACTTGTTGTTAGTACATGATTTTAAATTAAGTAAAAATAAAATTTTAATAGGCTAGGGCCCCAAGGGCTAATTTAATTATTAATTAAAATTATTAGGCCTACTAACTACACATACGTCATACATAGTACATAGATCTAGATCTATTTGGTTAAGTCATTTCTCATACATTTAGTTTTTCCTTTTCAGGAAAAACAGAGAGCATTGTCTGACTTGCCCTAGTAGAATACTTTTAGTGTACTCTGCTTAGGTTTATTGAATTTATTAAAAAAAAAAATTGTATTTCTAGTCAGAAACTGAGACTAGCAGATTAAAAAGTAGATATGTAACATGCATGAATGATCAGTATGTGCACTATTTAATTTATATCTGCATACATTCATAGACTTAGTTGGTTTACAAGTTTTAATATTCTAATTTTATCTATCTACAGGTGAGCAGCCCTGAGCCCACCCCCGCACTCAATGATAAAGACAGCACCAACTCCAGCAGACCACCCAGGACCAGCAAGAGACTTTCAGACGTGGAGCTTCAGCGGTTCCTGCGCCGTATCCAGAGGCCAACCATCTCCCACCAACTGTCATGCAAGGACAACCTGTCAAGTGACTCAACCACGACCATCACAGACAAGGGGTCTGTGTCTGCTGCCTCGGTGGACAGCACGGACAGACAGAAAGCTTTCAACCAACTGTCACGTCCAACCACGGCCAGCAGAGCTAAGAATGTGGCCGAGTGTTACTTGTGTGACGAGGCTGAGAGAGAATCCAATAAAACGCTGGTGCCTTTTGTTTACCCCTACGCTGATGATAAAGCTTTGAGCAGGGAGGAAGTGGCTAAAATTACCTCCAGGGTGTCTACACCAACAAATGCGAGCGAGCGGGGTCTGGCGACCTGCGTGAGGGCACCCATCAACTATGACAGTGTACGTGCCCTGTCTAAAGATCTTCCTCTCATCTGTGGACTTCATCGCAGCAAAAGTGTCCACCATATTGTAAACAGGCTGCACTTTAACCCGAGGCCTAAAAGACATCATTGCCACACAACAAGGGCCACACCCATCAACTTTTAGACAGTTAAATGTTATTTTTATAAATACAATGTCCGATACAAATATGTAGCCTATTGTTTGTTATTCTAAATGACTTTAGGAAAACTACCGGTAGGTAGGGTGTCGCCTAAGACAATTAAAAACTACATTTATTTATCTATAATTTGATACCATTTTTAATTAGCCTAAAAAAGGATTTTTTAATGTGACGAGCGAACATTTACCCTGCTCGCAGCGCCAATTGTGACGAGCGAACATTTATCCTGCCGACAACGCCAATTGTAACGAGCCAACAGTTACCATGCTCGCAATGCCACATGTAATGAGACCTAATTGCCTGTAGTGCCACGTGTTAACGAGTTTAACCACTCATTCTAGACAACATTGACCACAGTATAGATACTCAAGATGCAGGTTCGCTATTGATCCTTTATTACATGAATCAAGAAATGCTTCATAATAACACAATAAATCAACAGGAATGCTTCTCAATAATAGTCTGAATCAACTGACCCCTAACAGTCCTTCACTAGGCTTTATATAACTGAATCCACATGTCTATAATCCTCCTTAACACAATACGGCTAACCCGTTCTATAACCGACTTGACATAGTCACACAGACTGACTGATCTAAGCGAGCGATGAAGATGGAAGAGAGCTCGCTGAAACGGGAAGAGAGAGAAAAGGGCGAGTTCTGCCGTCCCCTCCTATTTATGCCTTGTATCCGTACTCGTCTTCCTCCGTAATCGATACTTGTACTCGATCTCCGACCACCAGTTGCGTAGTTCAAACGTACCGTCCGTAAAATAACATCTGCATCCTATCCATCAAAGTTGACAGGCCGTCTGAATACCGTTTCCCAAAATAGCACGCGTTGGCTTTGAGGTTGTTATCAGCCCGACCCAATAAGCCACCTGTTATCGGTTGCATCAGACCAACACTGTGTCTCGGGTTCTCGTTCGTTATCATTTGTAACTGGTAGTTAGGCCTACCCCAGTTACATCCACCCCTGCTTTTTTTGTGTGTTTTCAACCACAAACAACGCCTGGCAGGTGCACTCCTCCAAAGTCAATCGCACAGTCGTAAAAAAAATCTATTGTTCCACTCACTGTCCACGACGTTCCATTCGTATACGATTGACAGTTATACCTAGTTCACATATCAACTGTGTCTACATCATCTTCCTGAGACACAAAACAGTTCTAGAATTCACATCCACCCTTTCCATTTGGTGCCTTCACCAGTTCACTTCTATAGCTCTTTGAACAGTCTGTTTTCATACCAGCGCGACCATGAAAGAATTGATGGTTGCTGACAAAAAATTTCGTATTCCTTCTGTTCCTTAAACTTCTCCGCGGACCACTTATCTGATGGTCTACTGTCTCTTTGCTTCTGGAGGGACCGGGATCCTCATTGTTGCCGGTATCCTCCCCTTGCGTATCGCTGTTGTTCTGTTGATGGTGATATGGTTCCGGAATGGGTATGTGAATTTCCGTTATAACTTCCGGTTCCCTAATTGTCTTGGGTTTCTGTGTGTGTAACTGCTCTTCTTGCCTATTCCAATATTTCTTTAATTGAGCAATATTCGCCCACCGATCCGGTTTGGCGTGATCGATGGGTCTTATCTTAAAGGGGCCACCTGCTACTTTAGGCATCTCCACGACTTGCCATATCTCCTGTCCCCAGAGATCGTGGATTTTGTTTCTGCCTAACGGGTGGCTACGCAGTAATACCCTGTCATTCAGTTTGAGTGGCGGGTCCTTCGTCTGTATCGGCGGTTCCCTTCGCCGAGATTCATGTTCTAGTCTTTCCTGTACTACCCTGTACATTTCTCTAATTCTTCTCATATGTTCATTCACATATTCCAGTGCGGTGTATGAGCCAGTCATACTCTCCCTTTTTCCTAGGAACAAATCAAGAGGGAGTCGAGCCTCTCGTCCGAACAGCAACATGTATGGCGAAAAGCCGGTTGTGGCATGTGGTGTGCAGTTGTATAGATATACCAACTCTGGGAGAAAATCAGGCCAACGTTTTTTCTGTTCAGGTTCTAGCGTACGCAGCAAATCATGCATGCTGCGGTTGAACCGTTCACACTGTCCGTTTCCTTTCGGATTAAATGTGGTTGTTCTAGATTTGTTGATCCCGTAGTGGTTGCACAGTTGGTTAATTACTTCTGACTCAAAGGCCCTTCCTTGGTCAGAGTGTAATTGTCTTGGTATGCCATATTTGATGAACCAATGTTGTAATAAGACCTTTGCCACTGTTTTGGCAGTCTGATCTCGTGTGGGCACCGCCACAGTCCATTTGGTGAATACATCAGTCATTACCAACACATGTTCCGTCCCATCCGATGATTTCTCCAACGACGTAAAGTCCATAGCCACAATCTCTAGTGGTTTTGTCGCTAGTAGGTGTCCTGATGGCTGTCTCATTTTGACAACTGGCATTTTCGCATGCTGACACCTCACACAAGCCTCACAATGGCGTTTGACCTCCATTTCCATATTGGGCCAGTAACACCTCCGTCGTAATATTTTGTGCGTCCTGTCCTGACCCTGGTGTCCTGCCCTGTCATGTGCCAACCTTAGCACTTCTTCTCTTAACTGTCCAGGCACCACCACCTGGTGTATTGTGCCATCAATTTGGTCATGAATTCTCCGCATGAGAACACCATCCTTTATACTGAGACGGTTCCACTGACTCAGTATTTTCTTTGTTTCTCGACCAAATTGTTCTCTTTCCCTCCTTCCTGGGAATTTTTGTTCCTGGACGTGTTTCAATAGCGGTTGTAAGCCACTATCCGTTCTCTGGGCATCTCTTATCTTTTGGTGATTAAGGCAATTAAAATCACTACTGTCCATATGTTCGGGTTCCGTGGATATGTGCTCCACCCCGGTCTGCCCGTTTTGCATCACTTGCACCCCATGAGGGATATCTGTTGACGCTCTGACCTCACATATTCCTGTCAGTGTTTCTTCCTCATCACCCGGTCTCTCGTAAGGATTCCTTGATAACGCGTCAGCATTACCATTGGACTGCCCTGGGCGATATTTTCTCTCCCGGTCAAAGAGTGCCAATTCTGCTGCCCATCGCTGTTCGATGGATCCCAACTTTGCTGTAATTTGAAGTTCTTTTTCAATATCTGATAATTTTTCTAGTTTGCCAACACTGTTCTGTTGTCCACTATTTTTATTTACTTCTTCCGATAACAGACACTCTAAAGATGAACATTTCTCCTGTGCTTTTAATTTGCATGAACTTTTCCTATCCAGTTTCCTGGTTAGACTTTGAATTCCTTTATTAAGTCTACCAATTTTCTTCTTATCATCATTTTTCTCTACCAACAAATTGTTCACTTGAAACTTTTCAACATTCAAGTTCATTTCACAGTTCATTTTTTCCATTAGTTGTGTTTTGCCTTTCTTTTTCTCCTTACTGTGTTTCTTTGTCATTTTGTTTACTAAGTCATTACCTCGCCGCTCTGTAGCCTTGACCTGCCCTACAGAGAGCGATCGTTTCACCGGACAGTGTTGTGCCATATGTCCGGGTTGTGCGCGGGACAGGCAAATTGGTCGACCATCAGCCGTCCATTGGAGCGATGGACCGGCAGGTCGCGGCTGTCCAACCTGTCTCTGTTTTGTCCCGTTCTTTTCCTGATTCTCAGCTGTTGACCTGCTCTCCAACCTCTCCAATCGTTGGTCAACCTTCTCCAGATGAGCCAACAGCTGAGCCATCATGGTTTCCACCGTGCCGGCCCCTGTGGGTGGGGGTTGTCTTTGTTCAGGCACAGAGACTTTGTCCACCGAACAGTTCGATTGGTCCTCATCCTCGGACCTGCGGATCGCTGAGTTCCTGACCTGAAGGAAGGTCAACTGCGGGTCTTTGTGGACCTCCTCTTTCAACTCTCTTCTTAGGATCGGGGTTGCCAGCCCCTCGATGAAATGGTCCCTCAGTAGGCGCACCTCAATGTCGGGTATTTTGCCCTTTACCGCTTCAAAGGCCCCGTTCATTCTGTGTGAATACTCCATCACACTCTCCGCCATTCTCTGCTTCAAGCCCACGAATCCCGATAGCAGTTGCACTCCCGACCGTCTCTCCCCAAAGGTCTCCATAATCAGATCCAGCACCTTATCTGGATCTGATTGGACGGTCCTATCGTGGCACTTAACCTCTGCCCTAACCGTTTCACCTATACTACCCATCAGCAGTCTTAATCTTTCCTCTGGTGACATATGTCTCGAGGCCCAGGCCGCTTTGACCTCTTCACTGAACCTGTTGGTTAAAGTTGGGTCTCCGTCCCCGTAAAATTTGTTAATATGGGACTCTCTGGGTAGGACCACTATATGGGTCTGCTTCTCGTCCAGAGTAGACATTTTCTTCCTTAAGTACTAAAAAAAGAGTTCTTTCTTACCGTGTGTGTATGAAAAATTTTTTCCTCGTTCCTCAATTTTCACAGTTCCTGAATGTCCGAATTCACACACGCACTAAACACAGTTATGCACAAGGTTGACTATAGGTGCCTTAAACGGCAAGTCTAGTTGAATTCATCCTGATCGCAGCGCCAATTGTGACGAGCGAACATTTACCCTGCTCGCAGCGCCAATTGTGACGAGCGAACATTTATCCTGCCGACAACGCCAATTGTAACGAGCCAACAGTTACCATGCTCGCAACGCCACATGTAATGAGACCTAATTGCCTGTAGTGCCACGTGTTAACGAGTTTAACCACTCATTCTAGACAACATTGACCACAGTATAGATACTCAAGATGCAGGTTCGCTATTGATCCTTTATTACATGAATCAAGAAATGCTTCATAATAACACAATAAATCAACAGGAATGCTTCTCAATAATAGTCTGAATCAACTGACCCCTAACAGTCCTTCACTAGGCTTTATATAACTGAATCCACATGTCTATAATCCTCCTTAACACAATACGGCTAACCCGTTCTATAACCGACTTGACATAGTCACACAGACTGACTGATCTAAGCGAGCGATGAAGATGGAAGAGAGCTCGCTGAAACGGGAAGAGAGAGAAAAGGGCGAGTTCTGCCGTCCCCTCCTATTTATGCCTTGTATCCGTACTCGTCTTCCTCCGTAATCGATACTTGTACTCGATCTCCGACCACCAGTTGCGTAGTTCAAACGTACCGTCCGTAAAATAACATCTGCATCCTATCCATCAAAGTTGACAGGCCGTCTGAATACCGTTTCCCAAAATAGCACGCGTTGGCTTTGAGGTTGTTATCAGCCCGACCCAATAAGCCACCTGTTATCGGTTGCATCAGACCAACACTGTGTCTCGGGTTCTCGTTCGTTATCATTTGTAACTGGTAGTTAGGCCTACCCCAGTTACATTAAAAACACATTTGTTTTTAAATCGCTATGCTACCACAGGTATGTTTGGTTCGGTTTCACAAAGTATTGTTGTGACCCGATTGACCGTTCTGCAGAAATCTGTCGTCTGCTAGATTTCTTCTCATTCAAATAGCAATGGGTGCACGCACTTGGCTGTTGTCTTGAACAAGTTTTATTTTTAAGGATTTTTTTTTTTAACCTGATGAATTTTTCAAATCAATGAAATTAGTTTAGTAAGATGACATAACAAGTTTTAGTGTTGTCACAATATTGTTAAAAACAGTTAACGTTTTTCTCTCCTTAAGTTCTGCCCAATATTCTCAACTATTAGACCAAATAAAATATACAAACGTCAAACACTAATTGCCCATTGTTAAAATTAGATCTGACTTGTTGGATAATATAAAAAAAATGAATACAAGTATGTGTTGTTGAGGTTAACATGAAACATTGTTAAAAATTGAACCCTGGTAGGGTTATTTTTTGGCAGCCATCCATTACTCGATGACTAAAAAAGGTAGGTCAAACGACAGCCTACCTGTAGGTAAATGAAGGATATTTAACTAAAAATACAATATTTTTTAAAATTAACTTTTTGTTTGTAGCTTTTTCCCATTGTTAACATTATATATCAAGACTTTCAAGATGTTTTGAACATTGTGAATATAAGTTTATTGAGCTCTCTAAATTTTTTTCATGGACTTTATATATTATTGTAAGCACTGGTGTGTTGATTTAATAGGTAACAGTTATTTATTCTTATCAACATAAATTGTAACTTATGAAGCTATGTACAAAATTGTCACATGTATTTCTGTCACATATATTTGCTTAATAAATGGTAACAGAGAGTTGAAAATACATGTATATTTTAAGCCTCTATATTTATTTATTTTAAAATGTCAACCACTTGCTTTAATATAGCCCAATAGATTTTATGATTTTATATTTACTATTTTACTTATCTTGAAATATTGCTAGTTAAATAAAGTATTTTAATGAGAAGTGTCCAATTTTTGCCTGTTTTGTAGTTACTGCCTTTTGTAAATGTGTTTTTCAGCTCATGATAAGTGAAATAATTTGAGAATTGTTTGTGGTCAACAGTTTGGAAGTGTATTGACTTTACAGACAAAGCACATTGCCTGCACACAATTTTGTGTCAAACTTGAGAGATTGATGAAACCAAATAACATCTGCAATTATGAAATTTGTGTTAAAATCAAACAAAAGTGCTTCAAGTACAGAACATATTAGAACAGAATATTGTGCCATCAGCATCAATTTTTAAAATAACATTACCTCATCTTAAAATAATATCTGGAATTCTATAATTAATAATTGGAAATAGTATTATAATGATCTTAATATTCTTAATGAGGCCGAAAACACTATTTATTATTAGGATTTAGATCTACTGTCTTTGGTGCGTTTCCGTTTTTTCGGTAAATTCTGTTAGTTAGTTCTGTAGTTAGTCACATGAACAGGAAATTCGAAACCAAAATAAACAACAATCATTACAAAATACAAAACAATGATAAATTTAATAAATTAACACAGATGTTTGAATGTTAGCCATTAACCTAGCTAGCTAGCTAGACTTGGGTTAGTTTAAGACCTAAAATGTAGGCCTATATTAAGGCCTATAGCTAATTACTTTACTATATTGAGAGTAATCTAAGCGCCCTAACCTTAACCCTAGGTCTTCTTAAGTTAATTTCGGTGGTAATCTAATAAATCTATCGTTTTGGGCTGGGTAGGCCTACGTAAAATCGCCCGCGACTAGATCTAGTAATGTGAAAAACAGGTGACTCCTTAAATTTTAATAATTATTTCACATTTTGAGGAGGATTTATATTTAGAAAAATACAAAAATGTTTCATTTATGCACCTGTTTTTAAACGATTGATCTTGTCTAAGTTATTTTTTCTAAACTAATACCGCGAGATTCAGGGGGAAGCCACTCTTTATTACAAATGGCTGCTGTTTATATAGCAAATCTCACTCGCAAACACTGCTGTTTAAAGTTAATTTCTGACCCATATTGATATATTTAACCATTAATTTAGGTTTATTAATCATTTATCTACAATATTTGACACAAATATATCACAATATACTTCTATTAAAGCCTTGACAATGAGGTAACTTTTTCGTACATTAGAAGCCGCGGGCGATTTTACGTACCCAAAACGATAGATTACCATTTCGGTTATCTAGATCTAGTAGCGAGGCTCACTAACTTAAAACTAACTTGATTTAAGATTGATATTTAGTCTTCATTGGTAATGTTTAAGTCGAAAAATAACTAAATTTTAAGTTAGTGAGCCTCGCTATTATCTAGGCCTATAGTTTTAGATTCTTAGTTTTAGGTAGGTAAAATCAGCCGAGACTAGAATCTAGAGAATCTAGATCTAGTAATGTGGAAAAAAGGGGACTCATTAAATTTTTATAACTTTTTCACATTTTTAGTAGGATTTATGTTTTCAAAGTTACAAAATTATTTCCAAGTTCATTTATGTAGGGCCTACCTGTTTTAAACTAGTGTTACTATTAGTTAGTATTAAAACTTTTCGGTAAAAATTAAAAGATAGTGATGTTTTCATCAGATCAATCAAGCTCATTTACTTAAGCTGCTAGATCTATCTTGTTTAACCACTATAACTTACTGTTTATATATTAGATTCTATATAGATCTAGCATATCTTGCTTGCTAAAATAGCTGTTTAAAGTTAATTTCTAGCCTATATTTATAATTATATATTTAGCCATTGATTTTGGTTTATTATTCAGTATCTATAATATTTGCCATATAAATATATCACAATATACTTCTATTAAAGCCTTAATAATAAGGCAACTTTTCCGCACATTACTAGCCTCAGTCGATTTTACGCACCTAAAACAATAGATTACTAGACCTTATAACTTCTAACTTATCTAAAAAAAAGAGACTTTACTAAAAAAAAAAAAAGAGAGAATCTATGACTAGATCTATTGACTATCACTTTGGAGTCGAGTTAACTAGTTATTTCTAGATCTTGTGTAGATTCTAGATCTAGTAGTAGATCTAGATCTAGAAACTTGAGAAAGTAAAGTTACTGGTTAGAGTTTTTAGAGTTTTGATTAGTATTTAGTAAGTACTTAGCTAATAGCTAGGCCTACTACTTAGTAATTTTCTACCACAGCAACACAAAATGCTACATTAGTATTACCCTACCCTACAATCTACAAGTCAAAATGATATTAAAATGGCAATTTTTTTTTTTTTTTAGCACAGATATCTTTTGAATTAATTCTCTGAGCTTGATCAACATTGATTAACCTATTATACTATTATTAATTAAAAAAATGATTACAATTTACAAAAACAAATGCACAAGGGTGTCGTCCCAAAATTTGCTTACCTTCCCCCAAGGCATTTTGTAGTTGACCTAGTAGTGCTACTAGGCTACAGTCCATTTACTATAACCACATTTATTATGATCATAAGCTGGATCCACTTATAACTCAATAGTATGGGCCTATTTATTGGGGAACACAATAACACTTCAAATCTTTGAGATCTCGGAGCTTCTCTGATTAGCTGTCTTTTAGTTTTATTTGGAATTCTATGCATTAATAAATTCTTACTTTCTGTTAGCTTGTTGTTTATTAAGTTCAAGTACAGTACAGTTTCCTTGTTCAACCATTTATAACCTGCACTTAAACTCACATTTTTATTTGTTCAGCCATTTGTAACCATTTAACCTGAACTTAAACACACATTTTTATTTGTTCAACCATTTGTAACCATTTAACCTGAACTTAAACACACATTTTATTTGTTCAACCATTTCTAACCATTTAACCTGAACTTAAACACACATTTTTATTTGGTTAAAATGTTTTGGTTTGTTAAAGTGTGACATAAACTGCAGCTTTACATTTCCAGGCTAACCTTGACGTAAATGCAGGGGGAGTAGAGCAGCTGATAAGGATGTTGAAAGCTGATGTGGCAGCTGAGACAGGGGAGAGAAGCAGGTCTATACTCTGGCTGCCAGTTATCTTCTCTTGTGCAACATTTTACCTCTACCTGCTCTCACTGGGGTTCAAACAGGAGGATGAAAGGTGATACACATATACATGTTGTTGAAAGGTGATACACATATACATATACATGTTGTTGAAAGGTGATTCACATACACATATACATGTTGTTGAAAATTGATACACATATACATATACATGTTGTTGAAAGGTGACACAGTTATACATGTACTAGTTGTTGAAAGGTGATACACATATACATGTACTAGTTGTTGAAAGGTGATACACATATACATGTACTAGTTGTTGAAAGGTGATACACATATACATGTACTAGTTGTTGAAAGGTGATACACATATACATGTATGTTGTTGAAAGGTGATATACATATACATGTTGTTGAAAGGTGACACATACATGAACTAGTTGTTGAAAGGTGACACATACATGAACTAGTTGTTGAAAGGTGATACATACATGTACATGTTGTTTCATAATGGTGACATGTATACATGTCACATGTCCACATTCTATTTATAGCCTCACTGTTACATGTTTGAATTCTATTAATAGCCATACTATGAGGTCACATGTCCACATTCTATTTATAGCCTGATGTTGAGGTCACATGTCCACATTCTATTTATAGCCTGATGTTGAGGTGAACGGAAAAAAAGTCACAGGAAAAAAAAAACACAGAAAAAAAGTCAGTTTTTGCTAGGAAAAAAGTCACAATGGAAAAATTTTATCGGAAAAAAAGTCACAGAAATAAAGTCACAGAAAAAAAGTCACAAAAATCTGTTTAGAAATATTTTGATTTATTTGTTAATAATTGTAAAATTGTGTGTGTTTATTGTTGTGGGTTGTATTTTTCGATAGCATAAATTATTTATAGACGTTAAAAGCATTATGATTTATAAAAATTGTAAGTAAAAATAAAAATACTCTAAGATAAGTTACACAACAATCTCAACTTTTGTTACGTATTTAGTTAAATACGTGGTAGAAAAGTTAACTATAAAAGAAATTTAGGCACATCATTGTGTTTTGCATATGTTTTGCTGTAGGCTATTCTCTTGTCGGCCTCTCCTCAGTAGGCATTGTCCGAACATATTTTGTGTTGTTGACGTTTTGTGTCAATGACAGCCTTTGAACCTTGGCGGCTCTCTGTTTTGATCCTAAGTTTTGTTATGTAATGAGCGTGATAAATGTGGGCAGTAAATGTGGTTGAACTAAGCATAATTATTGTTGCGATGAGTTGAGGGCATTAATTCAGATGACCTTACCATTTCACGGTAATTTAATTTAAAAAAAACACGATGAAAACCGTGAACATTCTATTAAATGCTATTAATATTATGTTTAACATAATTACAATCTACTTAATTCATATTAAATATTTTTAGATGAATTATAAAAATTACTACGCGTATACAACCTACACACATTGCTTTACATTTAATTAATCCTAAGTTAATTTGCACTCTCGTAATATATAATACATAAAAGTATTAACAAATTCCATGCAAATATATATTTGTGACTTTTTTTCCTGTGACTTTTTTTCCTGTGACTTTTTTCTCCTGTGTTTTTTTTTCCTGTGTTTTTTTTCCTGTGACTTTTTTTCCTACAATCGATGTTGAGGTCACATGTCCACATTCTATTTATAGCCTGATGTTGAGGTCACATGTCCACATTCTATTTATAGCCTGATGTTGAGGTCACATGTCCACATTCTTTTTATAGCCTGATGTTGAGGTCACATGTCCACATTCTATTTATAGCCTGATGTTGAGGTCACATGTCCGCATTCTATTTATAGCCTGATGTTGAGGTCACATGTCCGCATTCTATTTATAGCCTCATGTTGAGGTCACATTCTATTTATAGCCTGATGTTGAGGTCACATTCTATTTATAGCCTGATGTTGAGGTCACATTCTATTTATAGCCTGATGTTGAGGTCACATGTCCACAGGTCCAGTCGGAAATTCCCCACCAGCGTCGATGACATCAGAGAAATGTTGACCTACATCAACGCAGTCAAGGCCAACAACTGGGGCTATTTGTTGCTAGTCTTTAGTTCAGGATATATTTATAAACAAGCTTTTGCTGTGCCTGGGTCTGTCTGTCTGGTTAGTCTGTTTGTCTGTCTGTCTGTCCAGTCTGTCTGTCTGGTCGGTCTGTCTGTCTGTCTGTCTGTATGGTCTGTCTGTCTGTCTGTATGGTCAGTCTGTCTGTCTGTCTGGTCAGTCTGTCTGTCTGTCTGGTCAGTCTGTCTGTCTGTCTGGTCAGTCTGTCTGTCTGTCTGGTCAGTCTGTCTGTCTGGTCAGTCTGTCTGTCTGTATGGTCAGTCTGTCTGTCTGGTCAGTCTGTCTGTCTGTCTGGTCAGTCTGTCTGTCTGTCTGGTCAGTCTGTCTGTCTATCTGTCTGGTCAGTCTGTCTGGTCAGTCTGTCTGTCTGTCTGGTCAGTCTGTTTGTCTGTCTATCTGTCTGGTTAGTCAGTCTGTCTGGTCAACCTGTCTGTCTGGTCAGTCTGTTTGTCTGTCTGTCTGTCTGGTTAGTCTGTCTGTCTGGTCAGTCTGTCTGGTCAGTCTGTCTGTCTGTCTGGTCAGTCTGTCTGGTCAGTCTGTTTGTCTGTCTGTCTGGTCAGTCTGTCTTTCTGTCTGGTCAGTCTGTCTGGTCAGTCTGTCTGGTCAGTCTGTTTGTCTGTCTGTATGGTCAGTCTGTCTGTCTGTCTGGTCAGTCTGTTTGTCTGTTTGTCTGTCTGTCTGGTAAGTCTGTTTGTCTGTCTGGTCAGTCTGTTTGTCTGGCCAGTCTGTCTGTCTGGTCAGTCTGTCTGTCTGGTCAGTCTGTCTGTCTGGTCAGTCTGTCTGTCTGGTCAGTCTGTCGGTCTGGTCAGTCTGTCTGTCTGGTCAGTCTGTCTGTCTGGTCAGTCTGTCTGTCTGTCTGTCTGGTCAGTCTGTCTGGTCAGTCTGTCTGTCTGGTCAGTCTGTCTGTCTGTATGGTCAGTCTGTCTGTCTGGTCAGTCTGTCTGTCTGTCTGGTCAGTCTGTCTGTCTGTCTGGTCAGTCTGTCTGTCTGTCTGGTCAGTCTGTCTGTCTATCTGTCTGGTCAGTCTGTCTGGTCAGTCTGTCTGTCTGTCTGGTCAGTCTGTTTGTCTGTCTATCTGTCTGGTTAGTCAGTCTGTCTGGTCAACCTGTCTGTCTGGTCAGTCTGTTTGTCTGTCTGTCTGTCTGGTTAGTCTGTCTGTCTGGTCAGTCTGTCTGTCTGGTCAGTCTGTCTGTCTGGTCAGTCTGTCTGGTCAGTCTGTTTGTCTGTCTGTCTGGTCAGTCTGTCTGTCTGTCTGGTCAGTCTGTCTGTCTGGTCAGTCTGTCTGGTCAGTCTGTTTGTCTGTCTGTCTGGTCAGTCTGTCAGTCTGTCTGGTCAGTCTGTCTGGTCAGTCTGTTTGTCTGTCTGTATGGTCAGTCTGTCTGTCTGTCTGGTCAGTCTGTTTGTCTGTTTGTCTGTCTGTCTGGTAAGTCTGTTTGTCTGTCTGTCTGTCTGGTCAGTCTGTTTGTCTGGCCAGTCTGTCTGTCTGGTCAGTCTGTCTGTCTGGTCAGTCTGTCTGTCTGGTCAGTCTGTCTGTCTGGTCAGTCTGTCTGTCTGGTCAGTCTGTCTGTCTGGTCAGTCTGTCTGTCTGGTCAGTCTGTCTGTCTGGTCAGTCTGTCTGTCTGTCTGTCTGGTCAGTCTGTCTGGTCAGTCTGTCTGTCTGTCTGTCTGGTCAGTCTCTTAGGTCACAGTTGATTCATCTCTGGTTAAATAGTTTACCATAGGCCTACGTTAAAATATATTTAATTTTTTTTCTTTTCATAAAAAACTAAAGCATGCGATATTTTTAAATAAAGATATATAGTGGATTGGATTAGAATAAAAAAGACTTTTATAACTTGGCACATGTGACTTCCAGAATGTTCTGGCTGGTGCCATGTTTGGTCCCTACTTTGGTTTTCTCCTGGTCTGCCTGCTGTCTGCCGTGGGGGCGAGCACCTGTTACCTGCTGTCCCAGGTGTTTGGCAAATCTTATGTTGTCCACTTCTTCCCTGACAAGGTCAAGGTCTTTCAAAACAAGGTCAGTCACTCGAGGATGTGTTAGGATAATCCTACTGATATTTTAGTCAGTCACTCTAGGATGTATTAGGATAATCTTATGGATATTTTAGTCAGTCACTCGAGGATGTGTTAGGATAATCTTTCTGATATTTTAGTCAGTCACTCAAGGATGTATTAGGATAATCTTACTGATATTTTAGTCAGTCACTTGAGGATGTGTTAGGATAATCTTACTGATATTTTAGTCAGTCACTCAAGGATGTATTAGGATAATCTTACTGATATTTTAGTCAGTAACTCGAGGATGTGTTAGGATAATCTTACTGATATTTTAGTCAGTCACTCTAGGATGTATTAGGATAATCTTACTGATATTTTAGTCAGTCACTCAAGGATGTATTAGGATAATCTTACTGATATTTTAGTCAGTCACTTGAGGATGTGTTAGGATAATCTTATGGATATTTTAGTCAGTAACTCGAGGATGTATTAGGATAATCTTACTGATATTTTAGTCAGTCACTCTAGTATGTATTAGGATAATCTTACTGATATTTTAGTCAGTCACTCGAGGATGTGTTAGGATAATCTTACGGATATTTTAGTCAGTTGTATGTGTTTAAGTCTTAATTTGGCTTTTTTATCAACATGAAGAAATGTTTGACAAAATAGATGTAACAATAGTCAAATGTAGGCCGGAGAATGTAAAACAAGAAAAAAATAAACTCATTTCTCACTTGCTGATCAGTGGGGTGTATCACATTTTTGGTCCTATAATTTGAAACTTTTCACATTTTTGGTCCCAGAATTTGAAACTTTTCACTTTTTTAGTCCCAGAATTTGAAACTTTTCACATTTTTGTCCCAGAATTTGAAACTTTTCACATTTTTGGTCCCATAATTTGAAACTTTTCACATTTTTGTCCCAGAATTTGAAATTTTCACTTTTTTGGTCCCAGAATTTGAAACATTTCACATTTTTGTCTCAGAATTTGAAACTTTTCACATTTTTGTCTCAGAATTTGAAACTTTTCACATTTTTGGTGCCATAATTTGAAACTTTTCACATTTTTGGTGCCATAATTTGAAACTTTTCACATTTTTGGTCCCATAATTTGAAACTTTTCACATTTTTGTCTCAGAATTTGAAACTTTTCACATTTTTGTCTCAGAATTTGAAACGTTTCACATTTTTGTCTCAGAATTTGAAACGTTTCACATTTTTGGTGCCATAATTTGAAACTTTTCACATTTTTGTCTCAGAATTTGAAACTTTTCACATTTTTGTCCCAGAATTTGAGACTTTTCACTTTTTTGGTCCCATATTTTGAAACATTTCACATTTTTGTCTCAGAATTTGAAACTTTTCACATTTTTGTCTCAGAATTTGAAACTTTTCACATTTTTGTCTCAGAATTTGAAACGTTTCACATTTTTGTCTCAGAATTTGAAACGTTTCACATTTTTGGTGCCATAATTTGAAACTTTTCACATTTTTGTCTCAGAATTTGAAACTTTTCACATTTTTGTCCCAGAATTTGAGACTTTTCACTTTTTTGGTCCCATATTTTGAAACATTTCACATTTTTGTCTCAGAATTTGAAACTTTTCACATTTTTGTCTCAGAATTTGAAACTTTTCACATTTTTGGTGCCATAATTTGAAACTTTTCACATTTTTGGTCCCATAATTTGAAACTTTTCACATTTTTGCCCCAGAATGTGAAACTTTTCACTTTTTTGGTCCCATATTTTGAAACATTTCACATTTTTGTCTCAGAATTTGAAACTTTTCACATTTTTGGTGCCAGAATTTGAAACTTTTCACATTTTTGGTGCCATAATTTGAAACTTTTCACATTTTTGGTGCCATAATTTGAAATTTTTCACATTTTTGGTCCCAGAATTTGAAACTTTTCACATTTTTTAGTTAAAACTTGTGGACAGTGTCCGTGTTGTTGTTTGCAGCTGTCTTGTCAGCAGTTGTTGTGATGTTGTTTCGACTTACCACAGGTCAACAGAAACAGAGACGGGTTGTTTTTCTTCCTGTTGTTTCTCCGCCTGTTCCCCATGTCACCCAACTGGTTCATGAACATCGTGGCTCCAATTGTGGGGGTCCCAGTTCATCTTTTCTTCTGCTCAGTATTAATAGGTTAGTGTACAACTTGTGTTGTTGGTCAGTGTACAACTTGTGTTGTTGGTCAGTGTACAAGTTTTGTTGTTGGTCAGTGTACAAGTTTTGTTGGTCATTGTATGTGTCTGATGCCCTACAACTTTGCGTACATGTTTCAGGTCTGATGCCCTACAACTTTGTGTACATGTTTCAGGTCTAATGCCCTACAAATTTGTGTACATGTTTCAGGTCTAATGCCCTACACCTTTGTGTACATGTTTCAGGTCTAATGCCCTACACATTTGTGTACATGTTTCAGGTCTAATGCCCTACACCTTTGTGTACATGTTTCAGGTCTAATGCCCTACAACTTTGTGTACATGTTTCAGGTCTAATGCCCTACAACTTTGTGTACATGTTTCAGGTCTAATGCCCTACAAATTTGTGTACATGTTTCAGGTCTAATGCCCTACAACTTTGTGTACATGTTTCAGGTCTAATGCCCTACACCTTTGTGTACATGTTTCAGGTCTAATGCCCTACACCTTTGTGTACATGTTTCAGGTCTAATGCCCTACAACTTTGTGTACATGTTTCAGGTCTAATGCCCTACAACTTTGTGTACATGTTTCAGGTCTAATGCCCTACAAGTTTGTGTACATGTTTCAGGTCTAATGCCCTACAACTTTGTGTACATGTTTCAGGTCTAATGCCCTACAACTTTGTGTACATGTTTCATGTCTAATGCCCTACAACTTTGTGTACATGTTTCAGGTCTACTACCCTACAACTTTGTGTACATGTTTCAGGTCTAATACCCTACAACTTTGTGTACGTGTTTCAGGTCTAATACCCTACAAGTTTGTATACATGTTTCAGGTCTAATACCCTACAACTTTGTGTACATGTTTCAGGTCTAATACCCTACAACTTTGTGTACATGTTTCAGGTCTAATACCCTACAACTTTGTGTACATGTTTCAGGTCTAATGCCGTACAACTTTGTGTACATGTTTCAGTTCTAATGCCGTACAACTTTGTGTACATGTTTCAGGTCTAATGCCCTACAAGTTTGTGTACATGTTTCAGGTCTAATGCCCTACAACTTTGTGTACATGTTTCAGGTCTAATGCCCTACAACTTTGTGTACATGTTTCAGGTCTAATGCCTACAACTTTGTGTACATGTTTCAGGTCTAATGCCTACAACTTTGTGTACATGTTTCAGGTCTAATGCCCTACAAGTTTGTGTACATGTTTCAGGTCTAATGCCGTACAACTTTGTGTACATGTTTCAGTTCTAATGCCGTACAACTTTGTGTACATGTTTCAGGTCTAATGCCCTACAAGTTTGTGTACATGTTTCAGGTCTAATGCCCTACAACTTTGTGTACATGTTTCAGGTCTAATGCCCTACAACTTTGTGTACATGTTTCAGGTCTAATGCCTACAACTTTGTGTACATGTTTCAGGTCTAATGCCTACAACTTTGTGTACATGTTTCAGGTCTAATGCCCTACAAGTTTGTGTACATGTTTCAGGTCTAATGCCCTACAACTTTGTGTACATGTTTCAGGTCTAATGCCGTACAACTTTGTGTGTGTACAAACGGGCAGCGTGATATCCCAGATGACCTCTCTCAGTGATATGTTCACCATGTGGACGATGTTAAAGATGTTTCTATTGGCCAGCGTGGCCCTGTTACCTGGTCTCATCATCAACCGGCTCAAAGTCAAATTTGATTAGAAATGTTTAGAAATCTTATTCAAGCTCATTATTAAATAAAATTATGTTGTTTTTTTTTTTTAATTTTTGTTAAACTCGCTGACATTTGAAACCAGTTGGTTGAATCAGTGACATTAAGTCACACCCTATGACAAGTACTGCAGTAAACAATTCTTATAGTGGGCTCTAGGACCACCAACTGGTCAAACATCTATAACTGTAAGCACTATGTGCCAACACAACCACATGTCAACCATGTGCCAACACAACCACACACCAACCCTTCACACCAACCAGAAACATCAAGTATTTCAGTGACCTGAGGTCAAGATCACATTTTATGCTTCACATTAAACCAAAGGTCAAACAAAACTTCACATTAAACCAAAGGTCAAACAAAACTTCACATTAAACCAAAGGTCAAACAAAACTTCACATTCAACCAAAGGTCAAACAAAACTTCACATTAAACCAAAGGTCAAACAAAACTGATGTATCACAAACATTTTTGTATTGCAGTTTCAGATAAATAAACAACCTATATATAGCTCATATCATTGAAATCAAACTAAAATAATACTTTGCTAAGATGAAGATCCTACAAATTGCCTTTATAACAAGCCCACCCTGACACTCACACAAAGGTCAGGCCTGACCCTCACACAAAGGTCAAGCCTGACCCTCACACAAAGGTCAGTCCTGACACTCACACAAAGGTCAGGCCTGACACTCACACAAAGGTCAGGCCTGATGGAATACAAAAGCTAGTGACTACAACCAATAGAATAAAACCCACATTTGCATAGAGTTAAACATCAAAGTACAGCAATATCACATCAAGTCAATAAAAAAATTTGATCAGATTTTTTTCATCCCAGAAGCACCAGAGTTCAACATGATTTAGTACAGCAAATATTTATAAAAATGTGTCAGTATAAAGTTTAACAAAACAAAGAGTGTAAAGGCCAATAGTTTTTGTCCTGTCCTGCATCAGACAGCCCCTCATACAAGGGTATGTAAACATGATGTGTACAGATCTACTCATCATGGTAGAACTTGAGAGCACACAGCCACATTGCAACTTGGCCACTCATAAAAAACAGAGTAAAACCTACCTAGAGATACAAGTTACATGTCAATGTTAAGGCACTTACAGGGACATTGACCCTGCAATTCAACAACAGTAACTCATTAAACAGCAAAGTGTTTAACATTATGCAATCATTTCTTACAACATAACCCGCAAATGTACATTTAAAGCATTTTCTATTGGCACAAAACCAATATAAATATAGATTTGTAAATAACCCTATAAAGTATAATTAAAACAATATATAACTACATCAAACCACTTTATAAATACAGAAACAATTATGTTATTACTGTTGTGAGAACCCCACAATGTCTCACATGAAGAATCTAATTGTTCTTCTAAAAAAGTTCAGATGCTAAAATTAAGTAAAATGTCGTCTACCACTGCCCTATGTGAATGGATTGCTCCATGCTGTGCTGGGTTTTGGTCCTGGTAATGTCATGTGGGAGACTTCAACAACTTCAGCTGGGTCAGAGTTCTCTGGTGTTAGAAGGTTTTCTGGTATATCATGTCCTGTTGTGGGATTTACACCAACCATTTTGTCACTGGCTTCACTGTGAACCAAGTTATTGTTGGAAGATGTAACCTGATTGGTCAAAACATGGGAGGACTGGACATGTTCTATGTTGTTGCTGGTTGGTTGTTCTGTGGTGATGGAGTTGGTTGGTGGTGTGGATTGATGGGAGACGTCAGCCTGTGGTTGGGTGACGTCAGGCTGTGGATGGGTGACGTCAGCCTGTGGTTGGGTGACGTCAGTTGTCACAGACTGACTGGAAGTTGAAACACCAGAACTGGGTGTTATATTTGCTGTCACATCAGCTGGTTTATTCGTCATTGTCATGTCAGCTGTTTCATTTCCTGCTGTTTCAGCTGTTTTGTTTGCCGCTGTTTCAGCTGTTTTGTTTCCCACTGATGTGCCCACCGTCTCCTCTAGCTGGGAATGGCCTCTGGCCATCGGGTCATGCAGCGTGGCCACGGCCGTAAAGTTGGTCAGCTGTGGGATGGCTGGGATGGTCAGCTCCATCTCCTCTGGCGTGACCTCCATGGCCAGCTTCTCCATGAGCTCCACCAACTTCCTGGCCTTGCGGACCTCGTTCTGGTGGATGATGGTGTACAGGTGCTCCGTCAGCCGCTCCTTCACCTCGCCTTTACTGAACAGGTCCATCTTGGCAGCCACAAACTCTTTCTCAGCTTTCTCGTATCTTTTCCTGTGGACAACAGGTTATAAAACTAGACCATTTGGTTGGTGGACACAGTAGGTTATAAAACTAGACCATTTGGTCACAGCAGGTTATAAAACTAGACCATTTGGTCACAGCAGGTTATAAAACTAGACCATTTGGTCACAGCAGGTTATAAAACTAGACCATTTGGTTGGTGGACACAGTAGGTTATAAAACTAGACCATTTGGACAAAGCAGGTTATAAAACTAGACCATTAGGACAAAGTAGGTTATAAAACTAGACCATTTGGACACAGCAGGTTATAAAACTAGACCATTAGGTCAGGGACACAGCAGGTTATAAAACTAGACCATTTGGTCACAGTAGGTTATAAAACTAGACCATTTGGTTGGTGGACACAGCAGGTTGTAAAACTTGACCATTAGGACAAAGCAGGTTATAAAACTAGACCATTTGGACAAAGCAGGTTATAAAACTAGACCATTAGGTCAGGGACACAGTAGGTTATAAAACTAGACCATTTGGACACAGTAGGTTATAAAACTAGACCATTAGGTCACAGTAGGTTATAAAACTAGACCATTTGGTCACAGTAGGTTATAAAACTAGACCATTTGGTCACAGCAGGTTATAAAACTAGATCATTTGGTCACAACAGGTTATAAAACTAGACCATTTGGTTGGTGGACACAGCAGGTTATAAAACTAGACCATTAGGTCAGTGACAAACTAAAGCTAACCAACTGTTCATTGCAACATTTAAACTATGTCGTATTACCTCAGTATTTTTTTTAAAATTATGATAGCAACAAACATATAAATACTAAAACAAAACAAGATAAAAGCAAAGATCTTGTTTTGGTATTAACTTAAAAGGTTTAGAAGTTTGGAGTTTTTAGAGTATTCTGTTGAAAGCTGCGTTATAAGTTGAGATAGAAAGCAAGCTAAGACGTACTGTGCGTCGTTGTACTCTAGACTGGCCACCTCAATCTTGTCCCTGATGATGCTGACGTCCCCAGTCAACAGATGGTCCAAGTGGTTCAACTCCTGCTGGACTCTCATCAACTTCTCCGCCTCAGCTTTGGCCTTCTTCCTCCTGGGGGAGGTAATTGTTGACTTCATTCAGTCAATTGTTGACTTCATTCAGTCAATTGTTTATTTGATTTGAACTCATTCAAACATCTCGCACAGAAAGAAATAATGTAGTGGACACTGACTGACCAAACATCTAGCACACAATAATGTAGTGGACACTGACTGACCAAACATCTAGCACACAATAATGTAGTGGACACTGACTGACCAAACATCTAGCACACAATAATGTAGTGGACACTGACTGACCAAACATCTAGCACACAAAGAAATAATGTAGTGGACACTGACTGACCAAACATCTAGCACACAATAATGCAGTGGACACTGACTGACCAAACATCTAGCACACAAAGAAATAATGTAGTGGACACTGACTGACCAAACATCTAGCACACAATAATGTAGTGGACACTGACTGACCAAACATCTACCACACATAGAAATAATGTAGTGGACACTGACTGACCAAACATCTAGCACACAATAATGTAGTGGACACTGACTGACCAAACATCTACCACACATAGAAATAATGTAGTGGACACTGACTGACCAAACATCTACCACACATAGAAATAATGTAGTGGACACTGACTGACCAAACATCTACCACACATAGAAATAATGTAGTGGACACTGACTGACCAAACATCTACCACACAATAATGTAGTGGACACTGACTGACCAAACATCTACCACACATAGAAATAATGTAGTGGACACTGACTGACCAAACATCTAGCACACAATAATGTAGTGGACACTGACTGACCAAACATCTAGCACACAATAATGTAGTGGACACTGACTGACCAAACATCTAGCACACAATAATGCAGTGGACACTGACTGACCAAACATCTAGCACACAATAATGTAGTGGACACTGACTGACCAAACATCTAGCACACAATAATGTAGTGGACACTGACTGACCAAACATCTACCACACAAAGAAATAATGTAGTGGACACTGACTGACCAAACATCTAGCACACAATAATGTAGTGGACACTGACTGACCAAACATCTACCACACAAAGAAATAATGTAGTGGACACTGACTGACCAAACATCTAGCACACAATAATGTAGTGGACACTGACTGACCAAACATCTAGCACACAATAATGTAGTGGACACTGACTGACCAAACATCTAGCACACAAAGAAATAATGTAGTGGACACTGACTGACCAAACATCTACCACACATAGAAATAATGTAGTGGACACTGACTGACCAAACATCTACCACACATAGAAATAATGTAGTGGACACTGACTGACCAAACATCTAGCACACATAGAAATAATGTAGTGGACAGTGACTGACCAAACATCTAGCACACAATAATGTAGTGGACACTGACTGACCAAACATCTAGCACACAATAATGTAGTGGACACTGACTGACCAAACATCTAGCACACAATAATGTAGTGGACACTGACTGACCAAACATCTAGCACACAAAGAAATAATGTAGTGGACACTGACTGACCAAACATCTACCACACATAGAAATAATGTAGTGGACACTGACTGACCAAACATCTACCACACATAGAAATAATGTAGTGGACACTGACTGACCAAACATCTACCACACATAGAAATAATGTAGTGGACACTGACTGACCAAACATCTAGCACACAATAATGTAGTGGACACTGACTGACCAAACATCTAGCACACAATAATGTAGTGGACACTGACTGACCAAACATCTAGCACACAATAATGTAGTGGACACTGACTGACCAAACATCTAGCACACAATAATGTAGTGGACACTGACTGACCAAACATCTACCACACATAGAAATAATGTAGTGGACACTGACTGACCAAACATCTACCACACATAGAAATAATGTAGTGGACACTGACTGACCAAACATCTAGCACACAATAATGTAGTGGACATTGACTGACCAAACATCTAGTACACCATTATGTTGTAGGACATTGACTGACCAAACATCTAGCACACAATTATGTAGTGGACACTGACTGACCTGTCCTCTATAGCTTTAGCCAGCAGAGCCCTCTTGTGTTTATTGGCCTCCTCTATCACCTTCTGGTGTTGTTGGAACTTGTGGACATTCTCCAGCTCCATGCTGTGGACATTTTGGTCAGGTGATCAAGTGGACATTTTGGTCAGGTGATCAAGTGGACATTTTGGTCAGGTGGACATTTTGGTCAGGTGATCAAGTGGACATTTTGGTCAGTTGATCAAGTGGACATTTTGGTCAGGTGATCAAGTGGACATTTTGGTCAGGTGGTCAAGTGGACATTTTGGTCAGGTGATCAAGTGGACATTTTGGTCAGGTGATCAAGTGGACATTTTGGTCAGGTGATCAAGTGGACATTTTGGTCAGGTGGACATTTTGGTCAGGTGATCAAGTGGACATTTTGGTCAGGTGATCAAGTGGACATTTTGGTCAGGTGATCAAGTGGACATTTTGGTCAGGTTTAGTGGACATTTTGGTCAGGTGATCAAGTGGACATTTTGGTCAGGTGATCAAGTGGACATTTTGGTCAGGTGGTCAAGTGGACATTTTGGTCAGGTGATCAAGTGGACATTTTGGTCAGGTGGACATTTTGGTCAGGTGATCAAGTGGACATTTTGGTCAGGTGATCAAGTGGACATTTTGGTCAGGTGATCAAGTGGACATTTTGGTCAGGTGATCAAGTGGACATTTTGGTCAGGTGGTCAAGTGGACATTTTGGTCAGGTGATCAAGTGGACATTTTGGTCAGGTGGTCAAGTGGACATTTTGGTCAGGTTTAGTGGACATTTTGGTCAGGTGATCAAGTGGACATTTTGGTCAGGTTTAGTGGACATTTTGGTCAGGTGATCAAGTGGACATTTTGGTCAGGTGATCAAGTGGACATTTTGGTCAGGAGATCAAGTGGACATTTTGGTCAGGTGATCAAGTGGACATTTTGGTCAGGTGATCAAGTGGACATTTTGGTCAGGTGGACATTTTGGTCAGGTGATCAAGTGGACATTTTGGTCAGGTGATCAAGTGGACATTTTGGTCAGGTGATCAAGTGGACATTTTGGTCAGGTGATCAAGTGGACATTTTGGTCAGGTGATCAAGTGGACATTTTGGTCAGGTGATCAAGTGGACATTTTGGTCAGGTGGTCAAGTGGACATTTTGGTCAGGTGGTCAAGTGGACATTTTGGTCAGGTGATCAAGTGGACATTTTGGTCAGGTGATCAAGTGGACATTTTGGTCAGGTGGACATTTTGGTCAGGTGATCAAGTGGACATTTTGGTCAGGTGATCAAGTGGACATTTTGGCCAGGTGATCAAGTGGACATTTTGGTCAGGTTTAGTGGACATTTTGGTCAGGTGATCAAGTGGACATTTTGGTCAGGTGATCAAGTGGACATTTTGGTCAGGTGATCAAGTGGACATTTTGGTCAGGTGATCAAGTGGACATTTTGGTCAGGTGATCAAGTGGACATTTTGGTCAGGTGGTCAAGTGGACATTTTGGTCAGGTTTAGTGGACATTTTGGTCAGGTGGACATTTTGGTCAGGTGATCAAGTGGACATTTTGGTCAGGTGATCAAGTGGACATTTTGGTCAGGTGATCAAGTGGACATTTTGGTCAGGTGATCAAGTGGATATTTTGGTCAGGTGATCAAGTGGACATTTTGGTCAGGTGATCAAGTGGACATTTTGGTCAGGTGATCAAGTGGACATTTTGGTCAGGTGATCAAGTGGACATTTTGGTCAGGTGATCAAGTGGACATTTTGGTCAGGTGATCAAGTGGACTTTTTGGTCAAGTGGACATTTTGGTCAGGTGATCAAGTGGACATTTTGGTCAGGTGATCAAGTGGACATTTTGGTCAGGTGATCAAGTGGACATTTTGGTCAGGTGATCAAGTGGATATTTTGGTCAGGTGATCAAGTGGACATTTTGGTCAGGTGGTCAAGTGGACATTTTGGTCAGGTTTAGTGGACATTTTGGTCAGGTGGACATTTTGATCAGGTGATCAAGTGGACATTTTGATCAGGTGATCAAGTGGACATTTGGTCAGGTGATCATGTTTTAGTCAGGGTATAAAATGGAAATTTTGATGATGTAATCAGATAAGGCTGTGGAAGGCGCTGTAGTGGAAGACAAAAGAAAGGGCGGCCATGACAGGCAGAATCTTCTGGAAGAACAGAAGACAGCAGGGATGTCTTGAGAGACAGCACAATCAACTGCCAAGATTAAAACCAAATGTAAGGTTATGGTTGAGGCCCTATGCTCCACAGGGAGTAGAGAGGGTTAATTTAATCAAATTTGTACATTTTAATAACAAATAAAGTCAGTTACCAAGCGATATAATTATATAACACTGCTTCTAGATGAACTCAATATTTAGTGGTAAAGAAATTACAGCCAAAGTTCATCAAAAGTTCACCCATCAACAGACAGATTAAACAAGACATCAAGTTCAGTTCAAGTAAATTTGTCTAGTTATTTTAACTGTACCAAACTGTTTATATCAAGCCTGGAGTTGTTGACAAAAACATTTCTCGGAGAATGACAAGTTTACCTGCGTGCCTGTGAGATGTCAAGTTCCCTGATGGCAGGTGTCTCACTGCCTGCAGGTGATGTGGTGTCAGGTGTTCCTGCTGTACCTGACACATCTGTACCTGACACACCTGTCTTCTCTACATTGTTGTTCTGGTGTGATGGGGGGGTGTCAGGGGAGACAACCTTGTCGGGGGCAGCAACCTTCACAGAATGTCCTGACTGGGTGTCTGTAGTATTCTGTTTGATTCCCTCCCTTGCTCTAGGTGACTGGTTAGGTCTAGGTCTTTGGTTAACTTTAGCTCTTGGAACTTTTTCATCTGTCAAATACAAAGTTGTATGACCACCAATATAATCATGTGATGTATACATACTCTGACCCAAAACTGGTTAAAAGTGTCTATTTTTGCTTGGTCAAAAATGACTGCCTATTGGACAAACCTCTTTAAATTGTATACCAATCTGATTCTGTTTTAACCAAGTATCAGTGTTAGCTAAGGTTAGGGTTACGGTTAGGGTACCATCTTTCCTACGTGAATGGCTGTGAGGGCCATAAGCAGTAAAAAAAAAAGCTCTGTAGTCTTCAAAATAAATAAAATTTCTTGGATGCCAAAAATCCAAGCTCATGTTTTAATTACAAAATACCGCTACAGTAACATGATATTTTTTTCTTGTCACCTGAATGTTCATTGTTTACTGTTTAGGCTTATGTGTTGTCTTAATTTAACAGGACAGGGATTAATTATTATGATAAAAACTTAAATATTTAAATAAGCTATTAAGGGCATGGACAGGTGAAGAAAACCAAAATGATTATTTCTACATCTATTGCTATAATGTTTAGCATAAGACTGAAAGAGTTAAGTCTAAAAATAACAAAATAGACGAAAATTTCATGCCGTTGCCGAGGTGATGACTGCCATCTTGGATTTTTTTTAAACAATTTAAACATTAAAAAATGGTCTTAATTATTAAAATTCAACAAAATTTTCTCTAATTATTCTGTATAAATATACAAACAAAACTTATAGAACAAATTTTCAAAAATGTGTATGGTTTATCTTTTACAGTTAAATAATGTATTTTGTGCACAAATGTCGAAATTTTTAAGTGATTTTCAGAAAAAAAGTTATAAAAACAAAAGTATAGGCCTATCAAAATTTGAAATCGTAATCAATAGATTGTTACCAACATGTATCTCTCTGATCCTGCACATTTTTATTGAATTTTGGCATTAGCCATCTTTGAGTTATTTCGAAGTTAAAAACATAAATAAAATCTAAGACGGCTGCCATCACCATGACAACGGCATGAAATTTTCAGCCATTTTGTTATTTTTAGATTTAACTCTTTGAGACATAACTATGTGCTAAATAAAAATATTTTAGTATTAGGTTATTTTGGTTTTCATCACACACCCATGCCCTTATTAATAGTAGGGCCTAGGCCTACACCTTTTAAAAAGAATTTATAGGGCCTGCTCCTTTCTTCTTTCTTCTTCGTTCTTAATTATTAGTGTTGAAGGGGATCGAGATTTATCTGCCAGTGGGGTTGAACTCGAGACTGTTCGAATTTATCAACCATGAGCTTTTTGCCGACTCGACCACGCCTCCAACACAATTAAGCGTTACGTGTCAACTGGTTATGCACCATTGAGGCCATTGACTCCGATTTCAGCCTGCTTTTCTTTTTGGATTTGCTTCCATAGCCTTTGTCCAACCAAGAACAAACTACAAGGCAGCAGTTGTTTAATTTTGGAGTTGTCTCTCCTACAAGAGTGGCTGTCCCCAGCTAACGAGCCTCATCTGCCGAGGGTTTGAACTCGAGACTTTTCGGTTTAGCAACCATGAGCTTTACCGACTCGACCACGCCGACCCCTGTAGGGCCTGCTAATAATACTTTATTTAGGCCCATTGACTAAAAGTCTAACCGATGTGTGCTTTGGCTTCAAATATAGGATATAACTGTATAAAATGGTTGTAATGGAAAGGTGACATGGCAGTGAGTGACAATAAATATTAAAAATTAAACTAAGTAGGCCTAATTTTAATAGAATGTGATTGAATTAGGGCCTATTGAATATTTTTAATATTTTATTATCTAGATCTAGAATTCTAGATCTAAACTACTAGATTTAGAGATTTATAAGAACATTATAGATCTACTTATTTTTGGGGTGTGACGTCAAACTTTCTAGGTATGTAGCCCAGTAAAACTCTATTTCAGCGTATTTTATTCCCACCTTCACCTCTGGTTGAGCGTATTTTATTACAAACACAAACGAAACACACATTTTATTTCTTTGTGAAGTTTTGTTTTAGTTTTGATAATTTACTTGTGTCACAACTTGAGAAATAAAATACGCTCAACTGGAGGTGAATGTGAAGCGGGGAATAAAATAGTAAAATTTAAAAGGCCAATGCTAGCCGGAAAAAGATACGCATGCGCAATGGAGATAAACTACGACTTGCCTTTGTGCCGATGTTTTCGATGGTACTGCGCATGCATGTGTTGTGTTTACAACCGCAGAACCCTAGCCATAACCCCAACCCTAATCCCAGCCCTATCCCTAACCATAAACCTAGCCATAGGTCACTGCGTATGCGCAGAACTATCTTTTACCGACTAGGTGGAGACGTTGGGGCGAAAAATCTTTTTCCAAGTACTAGATCTAGAGGAGTTTACACTTTTCGGACACACACCAAAAATTACGTAGGACCGAACACTTCGTCGGTTTTTGGCTCATAGAAACTTTAATTAGCATGTCTCACGCGAAACCACGGCGCCTGCACGTAAACTGTTCATTTATGAACACTTCCGTGTCAAGTACTTCCGTTTCCTTTCTCAAGAATTATTTTTAGAAATTTTTTAACGTTGCATGGTACGCACATTTCTATTTTTACACCAGCCGGATGAAGTGACCTAGGGTTGGACTTAGGGGCAAAACTTGAACCAATCAATGCTTAGCTAAAAGGTTACACTATAAATAGCTTCTATATATGTATGGAACATCGTAAATGTCAAGGTTAATGGGTTTTTTCGTGCTTGAACAATAAAAAAGGGGTGTTCGCTAACTTTTTTGACCTTACATGGGACCGGACAGCAACACAAAAATATTATTAAATAAGAATTTAGAGCATAAAAGGGGCTGGTTATTGAAGGGAAAGGGTAAAAATAAGGTCAAGAAGGCAGTGGAATGCGAAAGAGGAGGGGGAATCATGTGACCTGGCTGGCTTAGCAGCGTACTGCGCGAGCCGCAATGGCTGAATGGGATGAACTTTGGGAGTGTGGGAAAAAGCTTTTATACTATTAAAATTACCTCACAAACAATCAATAACACAATATAAATGCATATAATATATGTTTTTATTCATTAAATTGACTTTAAATTATTCTAAATGAACAAAAAGTGCTATGTCCGATGACGGGTAAAGGTGTCCGAACACATGTAAAACTGTATTACATGTGTTCGAACACACGTTAAGACCCCCCAGTCACTATAACAAGAATAGCTTAAGTTCTATGCGTATGAATACAAAATGACACACACATTATTAAAGTAGAATGGTTGCGGATAGATATGATACTTTTTTTTGTTTTCTATGTTAAGCGGTTACTGAATGAGACCGCATGGAATTTTTACGTTGCGTTTTTTCGCTATGTGTGTCCGAAAAGTGTAAGCTCCTCTAGATCTAGTCACTTTGAATTTAAAATACGCTAAAATGGAGTTTTACCATGTACCCACACTGAAAATACATCTAGATGTACTATGTAGATCTCTATTTTGTAACATAATACATATAAACAACTATTTTCTTATGTGATGTTGTACTACCGCTGATTTTATTAGATGTTTGACGCATTCGCCGGAGATCTTCATCACTAAATCCAGTCCAGCCTGCCATGTTGACAATTTGTGGACAATCTATGTAACGAAAACTGCAAATGTTAGAGGAAACTGTAAGGTAACTAGACTAGACTCTAGATCTAATTGAATTAACCTCACTGCAGCTACCATTTGCATTTAACAGTTAGAGGAACAAACTGCAAGGCATTGATTATCCATTAGAGCCTACCTCACCAGCTACTAGATCTACTACATAGATCTAAATTTGATTGATCGTGCTAGATCTAGTTGTTGTCTAAGAGCCTAGGGCGGCTATCTTTATCAAACCAATTTGTATTTTTTTCCTCTATTAGACTCTATTGTTAAATGTTATTAACATAATTCTTTACTGTTTTGCTGTATTGCATATATGAGGCCTATTATAAAGCCTACATTTGTATTGAAAGAAATAAGATTAGGCCTACTATTTCTGTAAAACATAGGGGTCATCTATTATTAAGGGGTCATCCATAAATGACGTTACGCTTTTTTGACGATGTTTACTTAAAACATTATGACTTAAATTAAAACGGCAGACTCAGACATAGGGAAATATAACTCATAAAACTGATAAACTATTTTTAAAAGAAGAATAATTATATCAAAAGCTGAAACTAGATTATAGAATATTTTAATACTTAATTTTTAAAAATGCGGAGTTTAGAATCAAAGTGAGACAACCCTAGTATATCTTAGCATAATTATTATTATCATTGTTGCTTCCCTTAGACTAGATTTTTTTTTTTTTTTTCAATTTAATTCTAGAACGTTATTTGTCTTGGAGCAGCTGAAATTTCCGTTTTCACAAGCTTTTATTTAGTTCGAAACCTCTTTTTACAAGCTTTTATTTAACTCACTTCCTCTGTCGTCAGTCGTCAGTCGACAGTCTGTTGCCAGTCTAGATCAAAACGCAGTGAAAATTCGGACAGTTCTACTTGACCGATACGATTCACAGTTGGCACGTGGGTCAAGACATGAAGACAATGCAATCTGAAACTAAATTTGACTTAATTGGATGCCTAATTAATTTTTTATGAATTAATTAAAATTTGGACCGAATTAGTAGGCATGTCTATCCAACCACACCACACGCGTCATCACGTTCAATAGCTGCGCCATCAGGTTCAATAGACCCGCAATGGTTTTTAGCCATGTAACACTATTGTAAATAAAACATGTAAAGTACTGGAAAAAAAATCATAAAAAAACGTTTTAATAACGTTTTTATGTACTAATGCACTAAAAAGTAGAAAATAAATTATACATTACTATTCAAATTACTATAAAGAAAAGCGTGGGTCTCTTCTCAAATATTAGTAAAGGTATCCAATAGGTACTAAAGTACTAAAGTGACCCACGCTTTTCTTTATAGTAATTTAAATAGTAGTGTATAATTTATTTTCTACTTTTTAGTGCATCATTACATAAAAGCTTGTTATTAAAACGTTTTTTATGAAATTTTTTTGTAAGTTCATTTTTGGCAAATCTTGTGACTCAGTTTTGACCCACTTCTATTGCAGCGATTTTGTTCTTCAAACTTTCCATAAGTACATAGCCAACCACTACAACGCAATAGATTCAGTGGCGGAACTAGAAAAAAAGGGCCACCCCGCAATAAAAATTTTTGGGCCTCATATATATATATATATATATATATATATATATATATATATATATATATATATATATATATATATATATATATATATATATATATATATATATATATATATATATATATATATATATATATATATATATATATATATATATATAACTAAATACGACAAGATCAACATGGAGTACTCAATACGGGCTTGTTCGAAATTTGACAAAATTAAAATTCTTAGTTTTTAATTTTTAATTAAAACATATTACAACAACACATCATTTACGTGAGTGCTATTAGTCTGTTTTGAAATTCTTCATTTATTTACAAGGCGGTCAAAAGAATATGAAGCATGAAAGCTTTTTATGCGTAATGGTTTCTGGTCTTATGTTTATTTTTAAGTATTTTTGTATTTATAATATTAGTTTTTAATACATTTCCTTTTATACTATGTCATTCTTCATTATTTTTTTAAAATAATAATTAAGAGAAGTAATTGCTTTTTAATTTGTTTAGTGCAAAAAAAAAAAGTTTCTTAATTGAGAGCACACATATTTCACTATTTAAAAAAAAAAGGGAAATAAGTCTTGGAAGTTGTTTGAACGTTTGCCTATCTTTCATACTACAACTCATGTAGCTATATATGATTTTCCTTTATGAAACAGCGCGTGTTAGCTTCTGTAGAAAATAGCTACTGTAGTAGATCTGTTTGTTGTTGTTTTTTTTTTTGTAAAAAAACAATTTTTTTTTAACTATAAAAAAGTTGATTCTGGTCGGCTTTGGGCCCCTAAATGGCCTGGGCCCCTCCGCATTGCGGGGTCTGGCGGCACTGTAGTTCCGCCCCTGAATAGATTAGACGAGCTTTCCTATTTGACCTTTTGTCCCTGTACTACAGCCCTCCCGTCTAATCAATAAAAAAAAAGTTTACACCGGTCCGCATACAATAGGGTAACTAAATACGTGTTTTCTAAAATTTACATCGCTGGTCAATTTGAGTAGGGGTTCACTTGCATCCATCCATTCTCAATCACCTCAGGTCAATTGCCATGTGACCGTATTACCAGTGCCGTCGCTAGGTCGGGTGTCACCCGTTGCGGCATCTCAAGGTGTATGTGTGTGTGTCGCCCCGCTCCCCCCCCCCCCACCCCCCAAATCAATGGGGAAAAAACTGTGGGATATATATATATATATATATATATATATATATATATATATATATATATATATATATATATATATATATGGGACGCAGTGGTCTAGCGGTAGAGAGCTGGACTGCTAACCCGTAAGAATCGAGTTCGAATCCGGGTTCAAGTCAGTAGACCGTCCCTGAGTACACCCAACTCTGATGGGTACCTAACTCACGTTAGGGAAAGTAAAGGCGGCTGGGCATAGTGCTGACCACACTATCTCTTCATATGCCGAGGTCACAGAAACAAGTGAACTCTACTTCACTTGCCCCATAAACCGTTAGGTTTGAAAGGGAAACTTTACTTATATATATATATATATATATATATATATATATATATATATATATATATATATATATATATATATATATATATATATATATATATATCGTGCCCGAAATATATGGTACTCACAAGATAACTCAAGGGGGGGAGGGGGCTGACACTGTTAAAAGTATATATTTTCTATATGTTACCGAGTGTATTTACTCGCAGTGCCAAATGTTACCGAGTCTATTTACTTGTGCTATCTTTGACCAGCACACAACATCAACCACAATACAGATACTCGGAAGTGCAGGTTTACATTTATCTCTTTATTAAATGAATCAATAGAAATGCTCCACATAGCAATGCATCAATGTTCCACAAGAATACAATGAACCAACTGACCCCCACTGTCCTTCACTAGTTCTCACACATCAGAATACACAAGTCCATGGTTCGGGCTTCCAAACCTATTCTCACAAATCACAACACGTCTCCACAGTTCAGTCTTCAACTCTTGTTCTTCTCTTCTTTCCTGCAGTCTTATTATATCCCTCGTATTCGTAATCGTTTCTATCCGTTGCATCATAACTATCAACTCCGCACTTCTGTCGTATCGCTTCCCAACTACGCAGTGGCTTTGTATTCGTTATCAGTCCACACCACCTGCATCCGTTGCATCAGCCCAGTTTGGCCTTGATCGTGTCTTAGTTGACAGACTGTATTGCGTTCTTATCAATCGTCTTTAGTAACTACACTAGTTACATATATAAATTCCATCGCGTTCGGGGGGCGGTAGACTTTTTTCGGAAGAGTTGCCTGAAAGAAACTCTGCTATGCCCAGTCGCCAATGTTTCCCTAAATTGATTCAGGTACCCATCAGAGCTGGGTGGACTCAACGTTCTATTTACTTGAACCAGGATTCGAACTCGAGTCTAGGCCACGTCTTCTCATTCTTAATTTGTTTGTCATTTAGGATTATTTAAAAATTAAAATAAAGAGAGACAACCTATGTTGTTAAAGCATGTTTTCCTATTTTATCATTGTTACTTCCCTTAGACCATACATTAAAAAACGTAAGCCTGAACTGTAAATAATTTTGATATTTAATAATTTTATAATCAATGTGAAAAAAGGCTGTTATAACCAGAAGTTTAACTTCCATAAGACAAATATTGATTGGATTACAGTTTTACAGGAACTGCGTGATTGAACCCCACTTCATAGTCAAATTGTTTTTTGTTTGTTTTTTTGCCTCAGACATGTAATTTACAGCGTCAGTTGTGTGTGTTCGCTTTAGTCGTATACTAGTTTTCATTACCGGCTTGTGAGGACTGAAAACTTTGCATATAAAATTTTAAAACAATTTTTTGTTTTAAACCACATGATCTAGTTCTTCCAATTTGGTTTAAATCTACATTAATTTTATGTGATAAAATGTAATCATCCTTTCTTTTTACTTTTTATCGTTACTGAAAAACACAACATTGAATACATAAAAATTTTAGTCCAACAAAAATCAAACACTCATATTTTTTAAACCATTATCATTTTATAAAAAATCCTAAATTATTTTAAAAGTATTTATTTAATGGTAGGTCTTTTAGAATAATTTCGAGATTGTTCACGGTTGGGTCCCTTGACAAAAGGAATGTTTGTATGTCTCAACTTTCGTTTTTGTAAGGCGTGATTTCCGGGTTAAAAATAAACAACAGCACTCTTCAACGAGTTGTGGTAGGTTTTTACCCATAATTTTTAGACAGAGCTAATTATTGGCCTTTCGTCATCAGCAGTACCCAATCACGTAATATGTAACATACACCTTTGGAATTGTAATCAAAGATGGTGGAATCTTTGATGACACAGGGGTCATAGCATAGCTACACCAACTAGATCTAGTGATCGAATTTTAACAGCAGCAGCTGAGGGGATATTATTTATTTCTAAATAATATCTTAAGAAGAGC